TTTTTTTTTTTCAGAATAAAATTCGTGATTTATTGAACAGAATAAAACAAGAGATGGAATATAAAAATGAAAAAGAATAGTTGATACTTTAGGCGTCAATCCACTTTATGTATATTCGCTTCTTAGAACACCACTAATTATTACAAAACACCAAAAAGATAAGGATCAAATCCTTGGCACATAACAAGAAGACTATAAAATGAGGATAGAATATATAAAGGCACACCTTAAAGTAGTCAAATTATGTGGACACCCCCTTTGTCTGGTTGGGCCCTAAAGTTTGATACATTTNTTTTTTTTTTTTTTTTTTTGGTACAGGGACCTTTCGGTTTTCGGATTCACAGGGGAACCGCCTAATCCGGAATCGAGCCGGGTAGGACCACAAGGGCGGCAAAGCTCTCCTTCAAGACTTTTTAACACTGCTGCATTCTCAAGGCTCGAACAAGTTTGATAAATTTGAATACAAACATTTATTTTTCCTCTAAAATATATGCAAAGAAAGACATAATAATAATAATAATAATAATAATAATAATAATAATAATAATAATAATAATAATAATAATAATAATAATAATAATGAAAAATATCAATTTCTTTAAATGGGCTTCAAAAGTCCATCTCGACTCAGGTTGGGCCCTTGAAGAGTGATCCATCCATGACCAGGATAAAGCTTGATTGAAATGAGATGACGGTCCAACATTTTGGTGACCAAGATTTCGATAATATGAACTGACGTCAGTTAGAGTAGTCGGTTCTACAAATGAGTGTCCTTATCGAGTTTTCTAGTTAATCAAGGTTTCGATAATATGAACTAACGTCAGTTTAGAGTAGTCGATTCTACATATGAGGGTCCTTATTGAGTTTTCTAGTGAATCGTAGATCCAACAGTTTAAAAATCGACGAGGGCAGTAAAGTCAATCCTACTGAGCCCTCACAGAGTTTTTTCTTTCCTCAATTTAGACGAGTTATATTTTTTACTTGTGATAAGCCAACAAGATGCTCCTCTTTTTTTTTTCTGTTTATATGTATGCTAAAAAGGAATTCCGAATTCAAGGTCAGAGCATTTTTTTTTTTTTTTTTTGGTACAAAGAAGGAGGCCGAAGCCTAAAGACCACTAGGACAGGACTCGACGTGGCCGAGCCACTCCTAGGAGATCATAGTCTAGCCAGTGACCAAGCCCCTGCGGCGGTGATGTAAGCCTATGTAAGCCAATCGGAACCTCAGCAGCTCGCGCAGCTAACGAGTCAGCCGCGAAATTACTTTCTCGATATATATGGGATAGTCTCAAACTCCACTCTAAGCGAAGTAACTCGCGAATAGCCTGGATAATCATCTCATGGAGGCCAAGATTATCTTCATTTCCCAACACCATGGATACAACACTACTGTTGTCCACTTCCACCAACACTTGTCGTGCTCCCAGCTCCCGAGCCAATTTGAGACCTTGATAGAGACCCCACATTTCCGCTCTAGTGATGGAACAAAAGCCCACGTTCATTAAAAAGCCACCTAACCAACGGCCATTCGAGTCCCTGGCTAAACCCCCGACACTACCCCTTCCCGAATAAGCGCAAAACGCTCCATCCGTATTAACTTTATTCCAGCCCTCGGGGGGTGACGACCAGTGGATCAACCTCTGCTCATACTGTCTGTCTCGAGTCCCCAACACGGCTTCGCAAGTCATGGTGCTCACATACCTGTCCACGCGTCGCCGGATATCCTGAATTTTCACCTTAAGGGGCACAAAATTGTTTGAAAAAACGGCCAAGTTTCTCCAAGTCCAGATGCGCCAGCAAGTTATTGAAAATATGGATGCCCAGTTCGCTACTCCATCCGGTGAATAAACTACCAGGTTCGACCAGATCCACGCGCGGGCATCGTGGACAAAAAATTCTTTACGGATCGAGTTCGGAATTAGCACCTCCCAAATATTCCGCGCATGAACACAATCACGTAATACGTGAGAAGTTGATTCAGGCTGTCCACATAATCCACAAGCAGCGCCACCAGCCATATGTCGACAAAACCTCTCCATGTTTGTGAACAGTCGATCCCGACTTGCCAACCACAGAAAATGGCGCACTCTTTGTGCTGCCGGCGCTCTCCATATGGTTCTCCACAGCGGGCGTGATGGGTCCGTGGCCCCTCTCGTCAAAGCCTCGTAGGTCGTCTTCGTCGAAAACACTCCGTTAGGCGTGTACCCCCATACCAATCGATCCGGTCTCGCCGAAGGAGATGGCGGCAGGACCGCCGCAATCAACAGCAATGAGTTAGTCGGCAAAAAACGCTCGAATTTCTCCCACCACCATTCACCAATCTCCGTGACAAACTCCGCCACCGGGGCCTGAATGAATTCCTCCGGTATTCTCTCGATCGCCACAGTTATTAAAGGTTCCGATGTATTTGCCCACAGGTCCAACCAAAATTGAGCACGTCGTCCATTCCCCAAGGCCCAGCGCGTCCCTCTTCTAACATGCGGCCAGACCTTCGCCACAGCTCTAAGACAGACCGAACCGTTAGGAAACTTAAAATCGCCTGTCATCTCATTTGGCTTCAAATTATACTTGGCGCACATAACCCGGACCCAAAGTAAGTTTGGTTTAGTGAGCATATGCCACTCTAAATTCATTAAAAGAGCCTCATTCATGAACTTAGATTGCTTAAGCCCGAGACCACCACAGTCCAGCGGTTGGCAAATATCCTCCCAAGGCACCAAATGGGGCTTGCGCTGGTCCGTTGACCCACCCCACAGAAAAGTACGTCCACACTGATCCAATCGATTGCAAATAGTAGATGGTAATGCAACAGCTTGTATGGCATAATAAGGGAACGAGGAGAGTGCCGACCGTGTTAAGGTGAGTCTGCCCGCCGCCGAGAGAGACCTTCCTTTCCACCCGGCTAGTCGACTTTCAGCCTTCTCTAAGATTCCCGCATATGTAGCCGTTGTAACCCTTCTGTGGATCAAAGGCATGCCCAAATACATTCCCAAATCTTCTACTTGAGCATACCCTAGTCTCATCGCAATATCGCAGCGGCTATCTTCAGCGACCGAAGAAGAGAAAAAAATCTGTGTTTTAGACGAACTCACCTTCAAACCGGACGCCATACAGAAATTTTCCATCACTCCTTGCAGACATCGACTTGTCCCGGGGTCGCCTCCAAGAACAACAGCAAGTCATCGGCAAACATGAGGCACGAGACTGTTACCGACCTACGACCCACGGAAATTGGCTTCCATTCACCCCGAGCAACAGAACCCTCAATAAACTGAGCTAATCGCTCCATACAGAGTACGAAAAGGTACGGTGATAAAGGATCCCCTTGACGTACCCCTTTGGTCGGGAAGAATTGCTCACTAGTCTCTCCGTTCCACAACACGTTCATCGAACTGGAACTAATGCATGTCATAATGGCCCGGATTAATTTGTCTGGGAAGCCTGCCAAGAGAAGAGTCTCGAGGATATAGTCCAATCTCAAGAAATCATAAGCCTTTTCGAGGTCCATCTTGATTACCATGTGTCCCATTCCGTTTCGCCGCGTTCGCATCGAGTGAATAAGCTCTTGAGCAACTATGATGTTGTCCGTTATGTGACGGCCCGGGACAAAGGAAGCTTGGGCTGGATGAATTATGTCAGGAAGGACCGTCTTTATTCTATTCACCAAGACCTTGGTAAACAACTTGTACGCCACATTAATGAGGCTGATCGGTCTGAACTGTTTTATCGTAGTCGGAGAGACCACTTTAGGGATGAGAACTAGGAGTGACCTATTCAACTCGGGCGGAAGCGGCTCACCAGCCCAAATTTGACGAAAGAGCTCGCACACTGAGCTTCCAACAGTCGCCCAATTCTTTTGGAAGAAGAGTGCATTCAGGCCGTCACTCCCTGGAGCTTTGAGAGGGCCCATAAGTTTCAATGCAGCAACAATTTCAGCCTCCCCTATATCTCGTGCCATAGAGTCCATGCGGGCCGGCTCCAAAGATGGAAACCCGTTGTGAACGACACGGGCAGGAAGAGGAGCCAGGTTTGCAGAAAATATAGTCTGGAAGTACGAGACAACCATGTTTTGAAGTTCCGTCTGGTTCGTCACCTGGTTCCCATCCTCATCCAGGAGGGAGTGAACACGATTTCGGGCCCGGCGGGCGCGCACTTGACGGTGATAAAATGATGTATTCCTGTCCCCAAAGAAGGTCAAATCCCGATTAGATTTCTGGAGAAGTAACAACTCTTCTTGCATCAGCACCGCATCCAGCTCTCGACGGAGAGACTTCTCTAAATCCACCAAACTCTCTTTGAAGTAGAAACGGTAGGATTTTTGGATCCACGCTATCCTAGCCATCAATCGCTTTTTCCGGTGAAAAATATTGCCAAAGGTAGTAGAGTTCCATTCGCGAGCTTTCTCAGCAAAATGAGATGCTGCTTCAACGAACGAAAGCCCTGGCCTCCACGCCTCCTCCAGCAGACGAGGGAAATCCTCATGGAGAAGCCAACCCGCCACAAAACGAAAGGGTTTGTGACCGCCCTGGTTAAACTGATGGTGCCCAAAATGAAACTGAATGGGCGTGTGGTCCGACTGTATTCTCGGTAAATACGAAAGTCTACCCTCCGTGAATTTGTCAATCCATGCCGTATTGACTACGAATCTGTCCAACTTCTCGGATACATTACCCCGAGTCCACGTGAAACGGTTATCCATTGCATTAATCTCACACAGCTGCTGGTTATGAATCCAGTCCCGAAATTCACTACTAATATTACACCTATTAATTGATCCCCCAACTTTCTCAGATCTTCGCAGGAGACAATTGAAGTCGCCTCCAATAACCCACGGCCCACGAATCGTAATTGCCAAGTCATCCAAATCAGTCCACAACCGATGTCGCCTCGCAGGATTTGGCGAGGCGTAGACGACAGTGGTGGTACACGTTTCTTGACCCTTGGTAACTCGAGCATGAATAAATTGTCGACCACATTTAAGGATACGAACATCCATCCCCTCGGGCCAAAGGAGCCAGATGCCTCCAGAAAATCCCATAGCCTCAACCCGAAATGAGTAATCGAAGCGGCTTCTCCGAATAAATTCATCCGCTCGGGTTCCACTAATACGAGGTTCTAGTAGAGCAACCACATCCGGTTTATGCTGTTGTTACAATAGCAAGGAAGGCAAGCCGAAAAGGTTCAGAGACCGCCCCCTGAGTATTCCATACTAGTAACTTCATGATAACAACAAATCATAAGGAGGACATCCTCAGGGCCGATTCTGGCCCTCTGCATCTGAGCAGTTGGTATCTTCCGTCTCCATACCCGACGGCGGCGGTGGTATGTCGGCCCCTAACTGTAAATAAGGCTCCTCCGGCCATGGACTCGGTCTCCCGCTGGATGTCAAAATTTGGTCCTCCAACATATCATCTATCCCCTCGTCCACAACATCCACACGGTCCTGATTGATTTCCATGAGCTGATCGTCCACGATCCTCACCGCTTGATGTCTGTTGTTGTCTAGTCCTGAGCTACCCGATCTATTTAGCTGCAACAAATGGACCCCTTGTTTTCCCCGATTTAGATGCCCATGCCGAGAGGATTCAACACGATCAACCGCAGTGTCCCGAGAAGTCTTATCAGATTTACCAGCTACCGCCTTGCCCTTCTCAGTCGATCTAGGCGTGTTCCTCTCCTCATCACTCAATTTCCGTTGTTCTGCCTGTTTCTTTTCTCCCGCTGCTTTCTTACCTTTTGCCTCTCCAGCCCGGCGCCACTCCTTTGGCCCTAATCCTGTCGAAACACCCTTCGAAGAGGGCTCACCAACCTCGCCAGAGGCCCCAAATCGAAACTCCGGTCCATTGTGCACGTCTTCAGAATTGTAAAGCGACTCAAACCGGTTACCGAGGCTAGATGACCCACCATACGATCCTTTTTCTCGGCGACCCATAGGTTTTCGAACTCTTTGAGGAACTTGCATCCACGGTCCATATAAAGAGTCAGTCACGTCGTTCACCGCCGAATCTGGTTGTTTCATTGGTCCCCCTCCTGTCGTTTAGCATGGTTTAATGTTGGTGATATCGTCTCATTGGAGGGTCCCTTCTGTTGCACATCCCTATCCGTACATGTAGAAACCTCATGACCATACTTACCACATTGGAAGCATATTACTAGCATATTTTCGCATTCAACCCGTTGGGTTTTACCCTCTATTGTGAAATGCACACATAACGGCTTCGAAAGATCCACCAACACGGCAAGTCGCGCATATTTGCCCCTCGTACGCGACGCTGTTTGATAGTCGATCTTGACCACCTTCCCTGCAATGTGTCCGATTTGACGGAATACTCGCTTGTAGTAAAGGTGTCCGATTTGACAATTGTGATTTACTTTCATCGAAGTCCAAAGTCCAAGGTTGGACGTGGAGATACCCATTACCCACTACATAAGGACCGCCCACCAGGGTACGAACCGCATCTTCACTATTTTGGAAGTGAACCAAGTAGTATCCGTTTTCCAAGTCCATCATATTGCATCCCGCCATGTGGGGCCACATTTTCGTCAATCGATTATATAGGGTCGCGTGTGATAATGACGTATCCATGGGTTTCACCACCACAACATCTTTCCAATCCTTAGCTAGCACCTCAAGGAATTTTGGCTTGATCCGCACGTTAGGGACCGAAGATGAGAAATCCACCGAAATGTCCTCATCAACCCCATCGTCTACCTCCGGCTCACCATCTAAGACAACATGAGGTTGGTTCTTACCCACCATCTCCTTGAAAGTTAAACGCTGGGGAGTAGCCGCTTTCTCCTGTTGGCCTAGGGTTGAGAAATTCACTAGTGGTTGTCTTCCAAGGCTCTCCTTTTCTCCACTCGAGATCCCTGGATCAAGGGGGCGCCTGCGTTTCGAATATCGCCCGTTAATAAGAGGCGGGATCGTCTCTTTGTTCAGTGCCGGAAATTCGTCGACTGCCTCCTTAGAAGGATGATCCCCGCTGTTGCCACCATGTTGAATGCTCAGAGTTCTCGCCAAGTGTCCGTCGGTTAGGGTAGTATTAGGCCCTTGGCGTGAAACGTTATGTTGAGGACCGGAGGGATTGGTGCAAAATGTTGTGACAAAAAGGGCAATAAATTATTTTTTATCAAGTCTTCTTACATAATACTTCAAAACCATACATTTCAAATGCATTGCTGCAAAATGTTGTGACAAAATAGAAACCACATCAAACAAATAGCAATAAACACAAAATAAAACAAAACCAAAACACCCCCTCACAAGCCACAAACAACATAATTACTTTGAAAGCTGAACTACAGTACCCTTACACAACCCAATTATGAAGAACCCAAAAAAAAAAA